TTCCACTGAAGTTAACGGAGAAACTTAGGCTTGACTGATGAAATAAACAACAAGTGAAAACATGAAAACGGCCTCTCTGCTGTGGACACCATCAAAGGCTCATCACACTGTACAGTGCTCCAGCTTGCTCACAATTCAACTCTAGAAGAGTTAGAGCATGATTTGATAAAGAGCTCTCTTTCAGCTGTGGTTTGGCTTGGCTCTGAGGTGGCCCACGTGCTGCAGGGTTTCCCCATGAAAATGTCATTTGATATTCCTAGAAACAAGAGCGCCCTATCAGGTCAGTTCATCTACATGAGCATCCCGTCTCCAGCAGCAGCCATAAGCCTTAAGAAGAATAAATAACACAGGTAAATAGGATACTCTTCCCTTGCACACTCCCATCTTTACACATTTTCAGTTTGGGGACTTTAAGTCAGGTGTGGTTTTAGTGTATTTCGTAATCCTCAGTGGATTTTAAATTTTTTTTTAAATGAACTTGTCCAGTCTAAAACTTGTCTCCTAAAACTTGCTCAAATAGCTATGGGCTCCTGAAAAATAAGAGGGGAACCTCCTCCAAACTCTGCCCTCCTCATACTCTTTCTTACTTTGCAAAACATGAACAGATGGCAAGTTAAAAAATGCTGGGAGTCACACAGCCATTTAAAGCCCCGTGCATACCTCAGTAGCTGTATGTCTATCCAGACCTAAAGCTAGCCAACCAGAAACTCCAGTTGTAAGAATACAACCTTGTGGATTCAGAGAGGAGATTTACTAATTTGAAAACAGAATCCTGCCTCAATTTGATCCTACCAACTGCCATTTCAGACACACTGTTCCTGTGCTCATTACTAATTTTGTTTAAATGTAATCATTTTACAAATCTGGATAATTTTAGGCCTGAATCACCACAGTTGCTGAGTGCAGCCATGTGCAAGACTATGTAATTTTTTTCTCAGTTGCAGTGGCAAATTACTGACACTATGTTCAAATAATCCTCAGTGAGCTCAACTCTGATCCCACAAAGCTGAAGGACAAACAGACTTTCTGCATTTTAATGATATGTACAGCAGTATATTCCAAAACTGGTGCAGAAATCTACGACATTTCTTTAAAGCTTTGTTCTCATAACTCCAAATTGATAATTTTGGTTTGTTGGGGTGGTTGTTTTTTTGTTGTTGATTTTTTGTTTTGTTTTTTTTTTGTTGTTGTTGTTTTTTTTTAGTAATTCATGACACATTCAATGAAAAGCAATGGAAAGCATACATGCACATCAGAAGAGTACTACGCATTATCCAGAAGTACACAGAAGACCCCAAATTCTGATCCCTGTGCTGCACCTTGCAGAAGAGTTTAGTGTATTATCTCAACCCTTCAAATGCAGCAATATCCTGTCACTGAAAACAAACTGTGACCTCCAGTTCTGCATCTGTTTGTGATGGCAGAACTCCAGGGAGGCATGATTTATCTCAAAATTAGGACTTCCAACAAAATGCATGAAGTGCCTCCAGCCTTCCAACTGAACAGTACAGTCAGATGTCACAAACAAAATTACAGTTGATTTTGGACAAGAGAAAATTTTTGAGTCCCTACAGGTGTATGGTCAAACTGGGAATTGCGTAGCTCAGTCTGTGTTTGTTAAAACACAAGAGAGGGCACATGCAATTGACAGAGTCCCTGGAAGAACTTGGGAATCATGAACAGCACATCTGAGACGACCAGAACTTCACAAAACTTAAGAACTGGCAGCAGTGTCAGAGAGAGGACACAACATGGCTTTGACCACACCAAACACAAGGCAGCGTTGATAAACAAGGTAGTGGGTAAGAAATGCTCCATCCTTCCTCTCAGGGTCTGAGTGTTGAATTTGCTTTTCACAAGACTGAGGCCCCACAGTAGAACAGACTTGTCTCTCAGCTGCAAAGGCAGGAAATGGGGCACTTCATGAAAACATGAGACAAGCTCTTATTTCTGAGACTGTTCTGTCAACTGAGAACAACCACTATTGCCTTTTAAGACTGCAAGTACCCCTCAGAACAATGCTGACACGTCCCAAGTCCTGCCCTTGGATTAGACATGGGCTTTAATACTTCCTAACAGAAGGAAGAACAGTATTTCAACAGTATAGAAATGCAATGCACTGGAAGTCTCATCAGCACTGACAAAGCATAACTGGTTCTGTCTTCAAAGTTCCTCCTACTGTCTGAAGATTTAAGCTACAATATTTCCTTGCATGTGACTTCCCCAGTGTCATACAGAAAGTCTGAGACATAATCAAACCCAGTCTCAGAGATGAAAGACAGTCTTACAGTTAAGACAGCTTTTTTTTTTTTTCCTCTAAATTTTCCCCCAAACACCTAGTCAAGCAAGCTCTTATACACAATGTATAGATCAGCCAAATAATTTAAGGACTGGAGATAACTCATTTACAATCCACGCTTAATGCAGTGTTGGCACACTTGATCAATATTTGGGAATTCAATTCTATTATAAAAAACAGCCAATTCACATAGTAAACAATGACCAAAGAAAAAAAACAACCTCAAATTTCTTATATCCATCACCAGTTTTTCTATTTGTTTCTTTCTTCTCAGGCAGATTTGGAAAACAGAGGAACTTCTCAGAGGACAGCCTGCTTTTACTGATATTTAGGGTATTACAGAGGACATAGCAGCAGTGACTCCCAAGTCTGCTTCTTCTTCAAAGCACTTTCAATCTAGTAAGCAAACAAAGACTTGGATCAATAACCTCAGAACGTAAATCTGCCTGTGATTCTGCTGGAGGGATGTAGTCTTCTTCATTGAATAAAGACCACACTCTTCATCGCTTTAGACTGACACTTTAAACATCACCCTAAAGCTGTAAAACAGCCAGGGCATTGAATAAAACAGCAAAACATTTGCTGGCCAAAGCCTCACTTCTGAAAAACTTTTTCAGAGGTTCCTGGAAAGACGTAAATCCCCTGCAGAGCAGTCTTCAATCAGATGAAAGCTTAGATTAAAGTAAAATTCAGTGCAGAAAAACAGCAATGACCCCAAACCCACATTTAGCTCCCAAAGGGGTAAACAGTAATTGTTATGTGAGGAGCACAATAGCTGAATATCTACTGAGATCCCTAATTTTGACCTACACCACTGCAACACAGCAGACCAAACGGCCATCAATCATACACTAACAACACATGAACTGCCTGAAATATACCATTTCAGTTGAGCATTTAATTCCTTAGATACTACAACAAGCTGTTAAGAGCAGCAGAAAAACAGAAAGCTCTTTAGAAAAGTTTGGAAAGAGGGCTTCCTAATGACTAATTACCTAGGTACATAAACAAGCAGTCCTCATCTCTTGCCACAGATGTCAGCCATTTCTGCTATCACTTGGATGTTCTATAAATGACTGTATCAATGAGTGTAAGGTCTGTACTGACCGAGGAACTTAACAACATAGCCAGCAAACATCCAGCCTGGAGATCAGCTGGGAGATTTCTCATGGCCAATTAAACATGGCACACTAGAATATATTTTGCCTCTAAATAGAAGCAGTTCGCTCCACATGGACCAAAATTCCATCGAGACTAAAAGAATAATACTTTATTTCACTGGAAGGGGGAAAACACTTTAGAAAAGCCTCAGTTCCTAAAATTAGGAGATGGGACATTCAAAATCTACTTGTGCAGTAGCCAGATCAATTTAAAACCTGTGATAGATTCAACTGTTTGTGTGTTATTATTGCATTACATTGAACAAAGGTCAAATATTAATTTTTCACTTCAATCTGATATAGGTAGGACTATTAGAAACATTAGCTACGTAACTCTTTATAACCGTCACTGAACACCAAAGAGAACGAGCTACATGTTGAAGAAGAAAACCCATCAAACCCACTTAATGCTGATGAATTACTGGTGCTTATGAGATGGCTGACAATTCCTCTTCTCTTCAGTCCCACAGACACGCACTGTATACCAATCCAAATCAGATTGTCTACAAAGATGCTTCATATTCAGTTACATCCTGTGTCATCACGTGCCTTGGTCGTTAGGGGTGCACCTGCGTGGGTGCTGAACTGGTACCAGGAGATGCTAATCCAATGCACTGAGTACTATACAAAGTAAAAGTTGTCATCCAAAGAGTCTCCCATCCAGAAGATGACACAGGAGGCTCATATACCTGATAACTATATGCCAAATAGATGATAAATAGTCACAGACCCATCAACTGTCAATATCATGCTTAATATCTGCTTATTTTTAAGGTAATTAGTGTATTCGTAGTTATTTCTAGCAATATTAATACAAGAAAATGGAACCCAACATTCTTGAATGCCATATATTTGATCCCAAAATTCACCTCCAGATTTTTTTTTCCCTTCAAATTATGGAAAGGGATGGAAAAGTAGTATGGGTCTCATTTTACACACCTTGCCGACTTTGTTGAAAACCTTTCTCCTAAAGCATTATTTTTTTTTAAATAACGTTCAGTCTTCCACAGTACCGAATACATCTTCACCCCAGCAAAACACGCTGCTTTGGTAGCAGAACACCCATTGCTGTGGATATGCTATGAAAGGAAGCTTGACAACAAGAACTGCACCCGCTTGTTTTAACACAAAGGTGGGAGCGATCCGTTCCACTGCTGCACACTTCATACAGCGCCCATCAAAACAACCCAGGTCTATTTGTGATTTCGGGCAAATGGCTCCAGGCCCTGGCTGCAGCGGGCAGACAGACGGCGGAGGCTGCCGATGCCCAACCCCAGGTGAGCGCCTACAAATCTCCCCCTGCGCTCTCTTCGGGTTGATCCGCGACAGCTCCCCTGCCTGCCCCCCCCCCCCCCCCCCCCCGGCATTTCACCCCTTTTTGGAGCGGGGCCTCACGCCGGGGATGGAGGCAGGCAACGCTGCCGAAACGCTCCCCAACCGGGACACCTGCACCCCAGGTCACGCACCTTCCCCCACCTCCCACCCACCCCGCTCCCCTCTCTCTCCCATCTTTGGAAAAACAAGCCCCCGGCGGCACCCACCTTGTTGAGGTGGGGGTTCCTGGTGATGTCGTAGCCCCGCTTTTTGACGGCCAGGCCCCCGCCGCGGCGGGGGGCCGGGCTCCTCCCCGCCTGGCAGCCGCCGCCCCGGGCGAGGCTGAGGAGAAGCGGCCTCCGGCCGGCCGCCGCCATCCGCAGCAGGCGGCCGCCCGCCCCGCCGCACACCGGCACCATCGCCCCGCCGCGCCGGCGTTAGCGGACGCGGGCGCCCGGCGGGGCGCGAAGGGAGGGGAAGGGCGCGGCGAGAGGGCGGCCCCGGCCCAGGTGCGCCCGGTCCGGTCCGGCCCGGCCCCTCGGGGCGCGGCGGTCCCCGCCGAAGCGAAAGGAAACCCGGGAAGCAAATCCCGCCTCGACCCCGCGGCGGTCGCGCCTCCTCCGTTACCTGTTAAGGCTCAGCCGGGCGGCTGAGGGGAGGGGGGTGCCCGCCGGGGCCCCGCCTCCGCCGGGCACAGCGGGCCCGCCCCGCCGCCGCCCGGGGACCCAGCGGCGGGGCGGGGAGGGGAGGGGAGGGGAGGGGGTTTGCCCGGCCTGAGGGAGCCCCTCGCCCCGCCGCCGCCGCGCGGCCCCCTCTCCTTCAAAGCTTCGCGTTTTCTCCGCTCACCTCAACGAAGGGCATCCCGAGGGAGGAGGCTGGCCCCGCGCTGTGGGGAGCGGGGGGCGGCCTCGGCCCTGGCGCCGGGGTCGGTGCCGCCGCCCCCGGGCAGAGGACGGGACGCGCAGCAGGACGCGGAGGGGGATGAAGTTGCTCAGAGGGGCCGTAAATCCCCAGGAAACACTTTGAGGGGGGGCATGTCAGACACCCCTCGTCCGGAGCGCAAGCGGCTGGGGGTAGTTTGGCATTTCAGTGTACCTATAATCTGTCCCTTCTCTATATAAAATCCATACACACACTATATATAATGTATGTACTATGTGTGTTGTATATATCATGTATATTACATATATACTTTAATATATTGTAATCTACATACTTTACTCACTGAAGACGGCAGGTCCCTGCATCCATTTTTTTCCAAAGAAACTAGCTGTTTTATCCTTTAAAATGGTGACATCATCATCACTATTACCATTTATCATATAAAAACCCAGCTGCTGAATTACTCTCCAAAAGAGTGGAGGATTTGGGTTTAACTCCATCTTCAGATCAACTCTGCTCCCGTACCTATGACCCCATCATGAAGATCAGGTCTGTTTTGGGTAAAGGATGCTCTCCAGCTTCTCCTCCCTTTTGTGTTGCTTTCTACAGATGTATTTTTTAATACACTTTAATATTTGGGGGGATAAATTATATAGTCCGTGCAGAAAAAAATGGGCTGCAGAGGGAAAGGTGTTGATTAGATGGATATGGTTGTTCTTTCTTGCCTTGGCATTTTATAGGCACTCCACAGAATAGATTAGAATAGACTATTTCAGTTCAATCCCATGACTTTATGATTTTTCCCTAAAGAGTATATGGCTTCATGCATTGCCCTCAGTGTACCTGGGATATTTATGCTTCTGCTGTAAGACAAGTATTATATTCAAACCTCATACTTGTGGACTGCGGCCACTTAATAACTACTAGGACGATGGGGAAACAAACTTCCCCCAGGCACCAGTCAGATACATTCTGAGACTGAGGTTGGTTGTCTGCATTTTTTTTTCCCCCCCTTTCCTTTCAAATTCCAGAAATTGGCCATAAATGGAGATGCACTACTTGGGAGACCCAGACAGTGAAGATAAGGAATACGTGCATCACTGAGGCCAGATTATAACCAGAGAGATTCTTAGTGCATGGAAGACATAAGAAGGAATTTGCCACTTTCACTTTTTTTGCATAGCTATAAATTGGAGAAATCTTGAGACTTTGATCTTGTGAGGATCAATTTGCATAAAAACAAAGTCAGTATTGTGCCAGCTTGTCAAAGCTTTCCTACTCCCACCAGCCAGCACCACATTGGTCTCAGTCAGCCTGAATTTGAGTGAGCTATTCTCCATCCCACTACAGATTTGCTGCAAATTTTGCAGTGTCTGTCGTGGTTGTGGCCATGTGGATAGCAAACAGGACATTTGACACTGATGTTTGTAGGAGAGTCCATAAGAATAAATCTCTGGATTCTTGAGCCACTCCTAGCGAACAAAGATGAAAAAAGAGAAATTTTCCTGGCTGCTTTGCAAAAGTGTACCATTAAGTTGTTTGAGATTTATGTGATAGAGGAAAATGTGCCAAACTGAGAGCCTGCACAATGGGGCTGCTTTGCACAGCTGAGAAGTGTCTTGGGCAGTAGCGTTAGCTCTCCTAGCACTAGGTGTCCACCCTTAGGCTTGGAGCAAATGCATTTACTGTGCTTTGGAGAATCTCGACAAGCTCTTCTTACCCATGGGACCTAATTCCGCCATTTATTGCTTTCTAGGGAAAAGATCCACCACTTACAAAAGTCAAATCAGTTCAGTTTGCCCGTTTTGTAAAATACTGTGTGCATCTTCTTGGAAAAAGCATCCCCCAATTTTGTGTTGAAAAAGTTCTAAGAGAAGAACAGAACTTCAATATAATTTGACTGTGTATGTCTAAGAGTTAGCTTAAACTCTTTCAGACTACATACAGAAGGCCTATTTGGAGTCATCATGCTTGTCATCTATGAACAGCAGAAAGAGTGCCAGTTAGTTTTGTTTGAACTGGTTCACTAACAAGTAGCTTTAGCATCTTGAATTGTGAGGAGTCAAAACCATGACGCATTGTGGTGTTATGGATATACCTGAGAGGTGATGCATGGGCTTCATCGCTGCCTTTCATAAAGGAAAAACTCCTTCCTGAATGATGCAGAGACAGTATTTCCAAAAAATCTACACTGCAACCTGAAATTTATTCAATACAAATTTTTCACAAAGTATTTTGATGTTTTTAACCCAGTATCTGCAGACAGAAGAGGTTTCCTTGCATGTGGAATATTATGTCTTCTATGACCAGTAACAGCTGGACGCATACACAGGCCCCACAAGAATGGAGAGAGGGGGAAAGAGAATTTCATAGCTGGATAAAATTCCTTGTTATGTTACTGTAAGTAGGTGGAACAAATAATTTGTGAGGATTTCAGACCTGCAATGGACTAAATTTCCAACTTCATGGGAATACAGAACGATCTATAAAAGTGTAAAATAATAAGTATGAATATGGTATACTGAAAACTGAACTTTTTTTTCACAGCAATGTTTTACTGATGAAAATGGGTGTTGTCACGGAATATTTTAATTTCTATAGAAGTGTTCCAGTTTTTCAGTGAAGCTGAAACCCTAACTAGTCTCAATTTTGAATTAAAAGGTAAACAATAAGAAAATAATTTACCAAGAACAGATTTTTAAAGAATTTTTTACTGTGTGAATTTACTTTTGAGTTTTATTTATGAAATATATATGAAATGCATTTAACAACAAAAATTCTAAAATTTCATCTGAAACAGATTTGAATCTTTAGATCAACCCAAGCAAGAATAACTTTTATTAGGTCTTTTGTAGAACTGATTGCTTAAATTTACTCACCTGTAGCAAATACTGAAGATATAATACTTCCCTGCCTGAGAAAAGGGCAGCACATTGCTGGCTTCTGTATCTACAAACCATGTACCCTGCAGCCTCCTAATCCTCTAAATGTTCTGGCAGACCTTACTTAATTTTGCATCAGAGGAGAAGTAGATGACTGAGTACTATTAAAGACAAGATGCAAAAGCACAGACATCAGCACAGCTACCATGGAAGGCAGAGACCAATAATGCAAACCAAATTTATGGTCCATGCTTGCTTGATAAAAGACAGGGAGGCTACGCGAGAAGGAAATAAGACATTAAAAGGCCTTTCCCACGCCACGGGACTGCTGGCCAGGCTGACAGCTTTGATCTGTCCCTGAATGGTGCAGGGAATTGTTATTTCTTGACATTGGACCTGAGTGAGTGAAGGTAAATGTGACACTTCTTTGGGCTGGACTCCAATTTTCTAAACACTATGGGAATTTTATTCTGCTTTTTAACATTCTTCAAGGTGCCCTCTCAGAACTGATGAATCATGGCCTCTTTCTGTACAGACTTGAGCAGAACACCTTTTTTTAAACTAGGTATGCCCATAAACCAGCACACAATGAGCTAACAGAATTAACTCATTATCATCAAAAGGATTTCACACAGTTTTCTCAAAAGTAAATCGGCTTCTCCTGCCTAATACTGTTCCAAAGAACAACAAAATAAAGGGGTATCATAACTTGTTTTGGAGCTTGTTCTTCCAAAGCAGCAATCTGAAATTGAGGAGGCTCCCCAAATGGTTGGTTCAGCCTCTGGCTGGAGGAACAACTCTACACTATATCCCTGGGAGAGAGCTGCCATATAAATCTTGACTTTGTACATCTGTCTTCTCCCCATCAGTGCTGGATCAAGGGTCATGACAAAGCCATAAAGCTGTGTGTGAATTGTCAGAAAAGAGGTCTGTTTTCTTTTCCTGGACCTGAATTGTTAGAATTATTCTATCGATTTCAAAAGTGTCTGGAAATATGTCAGGGACCTTGCACAGTGCCCCCTCAGAAGTTTATGGTCTGTATGCGCAAGAGGGACAAATGTAGGCAAGGAAACAGAAACATCGCTTGCCTGGGACAACACAACAGGTCAAACAGCAAAAGTGGGAATTCCTGCACACCCCTTCTACAACATACTGTTAAAAGCTGTGAGATAGGCGGTGAGGGATGTGCTGTATCTGTAGTATCTCATTTCCAAATGGTCTTCAGAAATGGCTTCATAGAAGATCTCCCACTATTGACTGCTGGATCATAAGAAGGGTTATTTTTAACAAGTTCACAGCATTTTGAGCATTTTTGGCTCATGCATACACTCCCACAGGAAGATACAGATACATATATATATATATATATATATACACACACAGACACACATATATATGCTTTTGAATTTATTGCTACCGTATGGACTCTTTCACATACTTTATTTCCTTGACTTTAAAATTCTGGTTTACATGCTTCGCTAAGCAGGGATGTATTGTATATTTATAAAAGTAAAAATAAGGTTTTCTCTGCCGCCATGAATTGTCTCCCTACTGTTGTGCAGACACTGAATAGCGCCTTGCAAGGGAGGCTTCTTATTTTTTACCTCCTATTGGTTGACAATAGCCATCAAACTGATTTTTGCAACTTAGTAAGAAGCAGATTACAAATGGTGGGCTTCTAAAATTTGCCTGGCACTGCAAAATAAAGCTTGAATCTGATTTAGGTTCTTTATCTCCAAGATGCAGAGTGCTTGCTGTCAGATGCACATGAATGCACTTTGTCTAACGTGCAAGCCTCTCCTGAATGCAAATTTGGTTGAAGCAATGGTTAAATTCTTGATTAAATAATAGAA